ATCCTGTCGGTTAGCTACCGGCTTCTTACTGTTAACTTTCTTTATAACAGTGTCATGTGGGTCGAGCGAGTGACTCACAACAACATTTGGTGAGGTTAAACTGTTTCCATCCACAACAGTATTAGTTATTTTCTTATATTTGGACTTGAGCGGAGTTGCCTTATGCTCAGGACGTGAGTCCAACGAGGACTTATCGACTATACGCGCGCTTTCTTTGGGTATTTTTCCGTCCCTATTGCATTTTCCTCTTTTCACGAACTTCACGCCCTCAGAAATCTAGTCATCTACTAATTGCTCTCAAAAGACTTGATCACAAAAGGTCTTTCTGCCTACTACTACACGTACATGACTTAAAAAGTATTATGACAATTGTGAAATAAGTGAAGTTCTTGCTCATTAATCGTCATAATAAAAACACTGACATGCGTCAGGTATATTAATGATACTTCTGTGGCCTGCGTCAACACCTGAACTAAAAATGAGGAGTGAAGTAGACTAACGCGTCAACAACCTCACTTTTATTGAAATTCTGATCAGTCCTAATGCGTTGGTGTCTGACGAAATCTTAACATAGATTTAAAACGCTCGTTTAGCTTTTGTCAACCTGCATCACCTATGGCGAAGGAGAAATATCCATCCGCCAATAAAAAAACAAACTGTTTATCAGTTCGTTCTGTTATATTTCATGGCTGCAAAACGTGGCCATTAAAAGTAGAAGAAACTCGTGAGTTACCAGTATTTGACCACAGATTTCTTAGAAATATTGCTCGCATCTGCTAGGATCATCAGGTAAGTAGTAAGGGTAGACGGAGAGTATTAGGGAATGATGGTAAATCAATTGATGAGGTTGTGAACCTACACCGACTGGGATGGTTTCGCCACATATTACGTATGTCTGAACATCGATTACCACGACTTGGAATGATGACTAATGTTAGAGATGGTTAGAAGAAAGTTAAGGGCAGCCAAACCAAAACGTGGCATCAGTGCTTGAAGTCACCAACTTCTAGTCTGAGCCATGTTGGTAGATACAGACTACTTGGTTAGGGTATGTGCAACTATCGTAACCTATGTTTGAAGACTGGGTTACATGGCTCAGAATCGATCACAATGATTTTGGTTTATACACTTTCTGTCTTCACTTAAACTGTGAGATTCAAATTACCCTGCTTTTCTTTCTGTGGACCAATTCTTTTTTCCTACATTATATCCTTATATACAATCTTTCTTCTATATATTACTACCATTGAATTAACTACTGTGAATTTGATGTTCATCTTTTTGTGGTGAGGAAACTTGGATCAATGCATATGTGTGCCTGGTCCTATTTTGTGGCTCACTAACTGACTTATGGTCTGTGATGATTATTAACATGCTTCTCGTATACTATAACTTCTCACAATGGCACATACAAGTATCGGAATCACAGTGGAACATAAACATGATAGTCCATTCCATTTTCTAGACGTTGCTATGCGGCGCAATACAAATGGTCAATTGTAAAGTTGTATTTATCGAAAGGACATGTGCAGCGGGTTTTACTTGAATTTGTATAGCTTCTGTATAATAGGTTACAAAAAGCCTTGGCTTAAACGCTATTCAATCGTATCAGAATATATAATTGATAAGGAATTAACTATGGTTGAACTTTGTTTACGTGATTACCCTCAAAAATTCTTAGACAAACATCAGAAGACTAAAGCGAAAATGGAATATGCTGTATTGGAGAGGAAGTCTTTATTCCTAGGACTTGGCTTCAAAGGTAACGTAGTAGCTGAAAAGACCGATTTCAGAATAAGAAACCATGATCGAAATGAATTATTCGGCTGCCAAGCTTATTTCTCTGTTTCAGAGGAATGGCTTATTAAAATGATCATGTGTTGACGGATTCATATCCTATGTTCCCTCATATCGTATCTCCCAGTTTACATGTACGTGCCAAAGTACATACATCGGAAGGGTGGAAAGGAGAATTAGTGTCTGCATTGCTAAGGACACTCCACATAAGCTCAGATTAAGAGAACAATACGTTTACCGAAGTGCAATCGCACTCTATCTGCTTGACATTAGCTGTGGTGTTGTTTCCAAGTCCTTCAAAATAAATAATAAACGAAGTCAAATTTACGATTTGCCGAAGCAACTGCCATGAAATGCCAAACCAAATTTAGGTATGTAGAAATATTCAGCCGTCAATCATTCATTGCCATGGTGAACTAATTTGTACATATTTGTTATAAAATTCTTCTTTTCGTGACACTTACCTAATAATAATAATAATCTTATATATAACCTATAAATTTTCACATTACTTAACATATGAACACCTCTTATCATTCTTCCATACTTATTGCTCTTTTCATCAATCCGTTTATTCAAAACTTCAGCAGCTGTATCTCCTTTGAATTCCATATTCATAAACAAAGTTTTCTTCTGTACTGTCGAAGCTTTTTCCTGATGAAGTCTAGGTTTTAAGTTGCTATCGACGAACCGAGGTGCATAACCATTTTTTGATGAGGGTTTGTCGAATCTTGAATCCTGAGTAAACGGATTTCAAAATCGTTGAATAAAACATTCCACGCAGCCAAGCTTCGCATTGTTTTTTCTAGCTGGCCTACCATTCTGATATGTGTTAGGATAAACTTTCTCTTTGGACCACATCAATGTGTATCTATAAATTTACTTGCTTATGTGGGGCACGTTACATAGGCCACACAAAGCGATCACTTTCCAAACGCATCTCCGAACACTATCTGGCTTGGCTCTTAAAAGGAGAATGTAAAAAGATAACTAGTTCGATACAAGAGCATTTAATTAACTGTGGACACATTGCTCCAAAAGACTCTTCTGTTGAAATAATCTACAGGATCAAAGCGACCGGATCGGAGGGGGGGGTCAAATCAATATTTTATGCACTGCTGAGGCATTGGCAATCCATGAATTCAAGTCTGAACTTTGCGTGCAGAAACGATTTATTTAACCTCTAACCCTTCCTTGGCCCTAACTCCCTTAATGGGTATGTTTCTGGTTGTCGTTTTCTTTCTGCACTTTTATTTGATTGTCATCGATTTTTTTTCAAATTACGGTTTTGCTGTTTCAACTCTAATGAGTTATTGTTATTATTACCTAATATAAGTTTTCTTGGTTATTGTTTAGTCTGGTATTATGACCTTTGTGTTTGTCGCTTTCTCTTCATATGTGTCAATCGGACTATTATTTGACCTATAAATTATTTTCTTCCTAACCCTTTGATTATTACGTAGCCTCATTTGTTATTTATTGTCTAATCAATTTATAACACGACCTTTCTCAGCCTCCTGTAGACATATATTTTCCATATAACTATATTATATGAATGTACAGCCTAAGTAAATGATTTTATGGAAAATAAAATTTTCTTCGCTGAATTCTCGTTTTCTGTTGTTTTAAAATTGGTTATAATGTGCTGTAGCGAATTCTGATTTGTCAACCTTTCTTAGTGTTAGGTTGCTATTAAGGTAATTCCCCTTCATGTTGTTCGAATGTTTTAGATTATGAGATATATAAAACGCTCTCAAACACCCTGGTATAAGCGGAAGTGCGAAGAGTCAGCTCTATCCCTCTCGAAATGCTCTCACATGACCACGTGCATACAATCACTGTTAGGGAAGTCCTACGCACTAAGTCCTCTCGGCATTACTGTTGCTGACGAAATTGACAGGACGAAAAGCGAATGTCCGGCGCTTTAACCGGGTTGGTGGACACGGCGAGTCCACTTAGGGGAGTTGGAAAACCCTGATTCCAAACCAATGGTGCACATGGGCTGGCTCCAGTATCCTGAAGGAACAAATGGCGTATGAATCAATCTTTGGTCACCGGCTACCATGGGACTGCATCTCCTTACGATGCTCCACCGTCTTGTAGATCAGATCTTTAGGTCAAAGGTTTCGGGTTTGGCCCCCTAAGAAAACTACCTGCTTCAGTTTGGGCACCTGAGAAGTATCACAGCCCTCACACAAATCGAATGAGATTTGTGTGGCACATATATATCTGGTGTCTCTTTGTACCAATATTTATGTGTTCAAATAAATAAATATAAATGTGCTCTATCATACAATAAAAGCTGGTAGAACAAATTTCTTACTACTGTATTATATTATTGACCAAAATGGTTGTTCACTATTTTGATCGCTAATCACTACTTGTTTTGTGATAATCAACAAAAGTATTGATGTGCATCAGTTCAAATTCCTACATTGAGCGAATATTAATGAAGAAAATGTGGGTAAATGTGGAACCGGATATTTTAGAATTGAGACTTCAATAAAGTGTGTCTGTTTACTCCAGTGCAACTGTTTTCGTCTCATATCCCCTTAAGTTTAGAACTATTGATTAATGTTGTTTCGTGGATGCTTGAATGTATTTTCAAGTCTCTTCAGCCATCTTTAAAGTTTATTAGAGAGTGGTATTGGTTGGTTACTGATCATCGAAGAAACATAATCCGGATTTTTGTCGTGGAGACTAAATTCGACAGTTATAAAACAAAATGTTTATTTATTTATTTAAACACATAAATATTGGTGCAAGAAAGCACCAGATATATGTGAGTCACACAAAATAATGAGAATGGGAGGAGAAAGGGGGTAGGATGCATGTAAAAAAAGTAATGGTGAGTGAAACTGAAATGTACAACCAGAAGAGCTCTCTCAGTTAAGAAAGTTAGAACCACTCTTTATGCAGAAAGTAGAAGAAGGTTACAACAGGATCGCTACTGACTTCTATTCTGAGCCATATCTAATAACGTCTCTAGCCACTGTGTTGCACCATCTCTCGGACCCCAACCAGGGAGTCGTGAAGGACCAACGGAAGCTAGCCCTTTGCAGCTCTCTTTCGTGCCACGACACCATGTCATACACTGACCTCCCCTCCGCTTTTTCCAACCAGTCCCATGGTCGGCAAATAATGCACGACGTGGAATTCTCTGGGACGACATTCGTAGAACATGTCCAAGCCACCGAAGTCGGTGTTTCAAGATGGTGACACCAATTCAGTTGTCGTTTAGTAAATAGAATCTATTTTAAAGTTATACTCCCAGTTTTTGCTTGATATCAGTCTATGTTTGTGTAGATAAAGGAGCATATAATTAAAATGATTTTCTAAAAATAATTTTATAGATGTTAAGTAAGCGGTTGATTGAAAATGTCCTGCGTTTTCAACATCAGAAATATCTGCCTACAAGAGGAATGCAGTGCTACTCTGGAGAATCTGGTTCTTGTTCATCTACTGGCGCTCTTCATTGTAGACCTTTAACAACTCCTTTGGGATTAGTCAAAATTACTTGTGTTGTAATATCCTCAATTTGTACTGGTGCATGGATAAGTAGAAATGGAGCAGAATTTCTGGAAGAAAATGAAATCTTTGTTCCTGAAGATGATTAAACATCAATGCGTTATTTAATCTATTCTGTGATTAGTAGTTTATTCCACTAGATTGTATAAACTTTTCATGTTATTATTTTCTTTATCTTTCAAGCTTATTTCTGTTGTTTATTGTTAACGTTAAAATACGCCGGTACATGTTAGCCATGTCATAACACGTACCTTTGAACTGTTTATTTAGTATGTTAAATGATGAGAAAATACAATGTAATTCATTGACCAAGCACATGTTATTTTTTCGTCCCTTAGCTGCACTTTTTGAGTAAGGATATTGATGCTATTCGTTTCTTAAAAGTAAATTAGACGTGGTAAGGAGTTGAAATGGTTGAAGACGAAATAGAAGAAGCTTTCGCTTAACGGGCTTTCGTGTCTAGTAGCAGTGGATCATCAATACCTCCAGGCGAGAACCTACGTATATTAACGATAATAGAAGGCAAAAAGAATTTGGTAAATCAAAATAATTTTTTATCCTTAGTCCTTAAGAATAGGTCAAGTTTCCTCTTAAAGGACTCCTGGGAATTCGCTTGAACTAGCTCAGTCGGCAGCGAATTCCAGCACTCGACAACCCTTACAGAGTAGAAGTTGTGTCTGCAGTCTGTTCTGCTATGTTGGGTCTCCAGTTTCTGGGTATTACTTAGGTCAGTGTTGTGATTAAGCTTAAGTAGGTGTTTAAGGGGATGACCAGAAGTGTTTAGGATAATGTAAGTCATAAGAAGGTCACCTCTAAGACGTCTGTACTCTAACGGGTAAAGTTTAAGTGATTTGAGGTGCTCTTCGTAAAGTTTGAATTTGAGTCCCCGAACTGATTTTGTGGCTCGACGTTGCATACGTTCCAGAGCGTCCTTATCCTTTTGGAGGGAGGGAGGTAGGAAATACCATGTTTCCGTACTCTAAATGGGGACGAATAAAACTGTTGAAGATTATGTAGAACGTTCTACCGTCAAACTGGCCCAAAATGCGCTTCAATGTTACCAGTGCAAGGATTGCTTGAAAGGCGATTTTGGCACAGTTCGCATACGACTTCAGGTCGTAGGGTACCAACACTCCTAAATCTTTTTCGACTTGAGAAACTTCTAGAGGGGAGTTTCCTAATTTGTAACTATGGAACCCTTGAAAGAAAAAGTTGGAATTCAAATGCTTTAACTACTAAGCTAGCACTCTATACTTTAGTGAATGTAGTTCTTTTATTATTGAAGATGCTCTTCGGTATATGGTGGTTTCTGATTTAATAGCTCTTGGGTGAAATAGGTAATTAGTAAGATCGAATTATCAGTATGGGAAAGTAATTTAATTCTATCAAATAGTTAACATTGTTGACTGAGTGGCTTACTTCAGATATCACGCAGCATCTATTATTACTTCACTCCATATGAGTTCAGTTACTCGATCTCTTAAATGAATACGAGTCAGTCACAACGTTGAACTTCGTACGTACTTACATCAGTTCGAGTTGCCATACCACATTAGCACAGAGATGCAGTTGTCGATTCAAATCCCATAGTGGTAGAAGTAGTAAGAGCATAAGCATTATGTGAAAGATAAGAGTTTGAAGATGTTATTGAAGGAGTATAATTAAATGAGATAAATTTGGAAAGAGAAAAAATATAGAGGCATGAAGAATTCAGAAGATTAGGATTTCGGAGAACATAAAGAGTGGATGCACCTTCGCCATTGCAAAAGATTTCGAGCCATGTCATTCAAGGTCTCTAACGATCGATTGTTATCATCTCGTGAATCCCAATCAGGTAGTCTACACCTACCAACATGGCTCAGTCCAATTGTTAGTTACTTCATGCGTTTGTGCCACGTTTTGGTCTGGCCGCCCCTAGAAACAAATAAGAAATATTTGTCTATCTAATTGGATTATTTTTAGTTCATTGTCTAACCTTATTTTATTAGCTAAACATTGTGAAAGACCAATTCTTCACTAACTTTTTTTGATAGACAAAGTTGAATGTAAGGAAAAAACTTGATAAACTATGAATGCTTGCTAGTGAAAATATCCGGATCCAATGTAACCAACTCAGAAATCACCACTGAAACACTCCTGAATGTCCTGATACGGTCGAGAGTGGAGTCTACTGCCTCTCGAAGTGATCTAGCATGGCCTCGTGCATACAAACACTACAAGGGAAGTTCTACTCACCTCCTCGCGACATTACTGTTGTTTATGAGATTGGCAGGATCAAAAGCGAATGTCCGGAACGAAGGATCCATCTAGGGGGTTGAAAAACCCTGATTCCCAATCAGTGGTGCAAGTGGGCTCCGGTATACTAAGGAAACAAATGGCGTTCGAACCTATTATTAGTCGCTGGCTACCATGGGCTGCATCTCCTAAGGTTGCTGCACTGATTTGTGGATTAGACCTCTAGGCCAAAAGCTCCGAGAGTGGCCCCTTTAGGAAACCACTTGCTTCGGTTTTGGCGCCCGGGCAGTATTTGACCCCGCATGCAGATCAGATGATGAAGTGTGAGCACATATACTCGATAATTTCTTGTACCAGTATTTGTGTTTAAATAATATTAACACCTCGAACTACAAATATTCTGTCTTATCCTGGAATCCTCTAGAACACTTCTCATCCTTAGCAGGCTTCTTAATCTGTGTAAATGTTTTGTAGTGGTTATCTGTTACGCTATTTAGATCTTTATGACAAAACAAACATACGTATATAATTATCCGACTAACTGCAGTTATTACAAGCTGGCTAAAATCTTCATGCTGTTTTAACGTTTAAGCCAGTTTTTTTACAGTCTAATTAATTAAAAAATGATGGAAATACCCATCTAAGAAACTATTTGCTTTACTTCGATCAGTTGGAAACTGGGACTTAATTCTTTTCTACTTGTCACATCCCAATTCATTTACTGTTATTTGGGCAAATGCCAGGTGTCAAGTATGATTTGTACTCGGACGCAGTTGCTGGCACCTATCTGCTATCTTTTTCATAAACGCTTAAGTCCGGGTTACCTAGCTGCCTTGTACTCGTCAACTAGGGAACAAAAGGTTTCTGTTCTTTTAGTAAAGAAGAGTACACAAAAACAACATGACGGGTAGCATGGTACGAGAGTTAGACTGTCTATATTATATGTTGGCTAGGACGCTAATTAGCAGCAGATTTCAGTAGAAAGTCGTATCACTGACTATGGCGGGGCGTATCGGTACGGGAAATATCGGCTTTAAGGGAAGTGAATCCTCAAAAAACTACACATTCTCAAAACTGCTGGCAAAGTTTTGACAGTATAGAGTCGACGAGGTTTTACCATTATTCAGCTATCGGAAGGTAGGTTAGAGGGCAAGATTTTCAATACGTGTCAATTATTTTCGAAACCATTGATTACCAGACAGTATTGCTGTACACCCAAAAAATAAACCATACTCTGTATTACTTTATCCTCCTACTCATCCAGTAGTTCGGTCACAGTTGAGATGGCAGAATATTTCTATTTGAGACAGTTACACTAATTTATAACAATGAGGATTATTAAAACAGTTTAAGGTTGTCAAATGCATCAGATGCTACACCTGAGTATGTCCTAATACAGTTGACTTTATTTATTGGTCTCTTCGCTGTAAACAAAACAAAAGTTGCTTGTACTGTTATATATTTCATTACTGTCTGTTCAAGTAATTATAAACTTGAATTAGCACATATTAGGTTAGGTCGTATACAACTGCTCTTGGGGGCCATGTACAAAGCACTTTCTAACATTAAAGTAACCAGTGGAATCGATGCTAACAATTTTGTCTCTTACACTGTATCGAATAGACTATTTCTGAATGAATAACCCAGTAACTTTTGAATTGTGGTAAAAAAGGAGTTCTAACTAAGATTTTTTTTCAAAAATTAAAATGTCTAAATCTTTCTTGTCTCGCTTATTATTTTTACTAGATTTCAACCTGCCTTTTTGCCTTCTTATTTATTTAAACACATAAATATTGGTACAAGGAAGCACCAGATATATATGCGATTTGTGAGGGCTGTGATACCTCCCAGGTGCCAAAACTGAAGCAGGGGGCCATAGCCAAACCTAAAGGTCTGATTCACAAGGCAGTGGAGCATCGTGAGGAGATGCAGTCCCAATGGTAGCCGGTGACGGACGATTGGTTCACACGCCATCTGTTCCCTCAAAACACTGGAGCCTATGTGCACCATTGGTTTGGAATCAGGGTTTTCCAACTTCCCTAGGTGAACTTTCCGTGTCCACCAACCCAGTCAAGCGCCGGACATTCTCTTTTCGTCCTGTCAATTCCGTAAACGACACCCCAGCCACGAGAAGGTAGTGAGTAGGACTTTCCTGGCAGAGGTTGTATACGCCGTACTCGGGCATTTGGGGGATACATCACTTATTGCTTTAGATATTTAAGCATCATTTACAGCGCCAAAAAGAATGTGTTATTCGATACTTTACAAATTTAGCTTTTATTTTAATATGAATAGTTTATTGCATAACAAACATTGAAAATAATTGACGTGAAAGTTTGCCAAGTTACTGTAAGAAATGCTCTAACAATAAGAATGAATTAATTAGAATAAAGCTTAAAAAGGAGATATAAAAACAAAAACGAGACAATGGAATGTGTAATAACATTGAACTGCACACATGTGGTGAGAAAAAAAGTGACTAGATTTTTGGGTGATCAAGTATAAACCGGATCAATTTTCCATGCTCCTAGTGAATAACGCAAACGTATCATGAGTAAATCTTTGGCCATTTGAATCCATGAGAAAATTGGGACCAGTTTCGAGCCTGTTTGATAAGAAAAACATGAACAACAAACAATATATTAACTGGATCTGTTGAAATAGTAACTCATTGAAGACAATGGTGGACGGTGGCTAAATTTTGTGGATTGGTTGAAGTTAGACATAAACACCGTTGGATGCCAGCTCAATGCTCTTAATGTTAAACGTTCGCCCGCGAGACCGATAAGTTCGAACCCCGCCGGGCGGGGTCGCGGATGAGTATTGCTGAGGAGTTCAACGCTAGGACGGAACGTCCGCCTAGTGTCTCCAGGCTTACAATGGTGGTACAGCTTAGACCGGCCCATGAATTCAACTATTAAATTACTGTAATATCCACAAAACCCCCTTTCTCATAATATATAAACTGTTTATTATTCGCATAATTGATTCATTTAAAATGAGTGAAAACCAAGTGACAGCTTCCATAGTTCGGTAGATTAATTTCTTTACACGGAATCAGTAATCTCATATCCATTGTCTAAAGAAACGCTAAGTTATTGCCTGAGCTAAGGCTTTGAAAAGAAAAATTTGAAGCAGGAATCATCTATAGAAGTAGACAATGTATCCCTGTTTTCAACAATTTGAGAGTAAATTACCTTAGATTAAATGCGAAACGATGGCTATATATCCTATAACTTTCTCAAAGAGCGCAGTTGTAATATTAAAGAAGTATCATAACATTGATATCAAATCGGTAGAATTGTCATAATGGTCGAATTAATGTAAAATGTAGGATGAGACGAAAGCCATCTCCACGTTTTTTTTATTCGAAGTAGGGTATTCAGAGAATATAATCAAAATTTTCTTAGTTTCTTGCCAACTACTACGTAAGGATTCCAAAGACTAGATATAATGTTAGTACGATGTTCGACCAGATGCAGCTGCTGCTTTCATCTCACGCCACCACCGGCACATAAGTGCCGGCGTTAGTGATGAGATCGATGCACGTATAATGAAAGCCAGAGCGGCTTATGCCAATCTGGGCCATCTTTGGCACCTTCACGATGTCAGTTTAGCTGTAAAAGATCGGATCTACAACGCGTCGGTGAGAACAGTTTTGCTCTATGCTTGTGAAACCTGGCCTCTCCGAGTTGAGGATGTCAGACGACTCTCTGTGTTCGATCATCGTTGTCTCCGAAGGATTGCTGACATACAGTGGCAACACCCCGTTAGTGATGCAGAGGTTCGGCATCGTGTGTTCGGGCGCAGAGATGATAATTCAATTGGTGTCACCATCTTGAAACACCGACTTCGGTGGCTTGGACATGTTCTACGAATGTCGTCCCAGAGAATTCCACGTCGTGCATTATTTGCCGACCATGGGACTGGTTGGAAAAAGCGGAGAGGAGGTCAGTGTATGACATGGTGTCGTGGCACGAAAGAGAGCTGCAAAGGGCTAGCTTCTGTTGGTCCTCCACGACTCCCTGGCTGGGGTCCAGAGATGGTGCAACACAGTGGCTAGAGACGTTATCAGATATGGCTCAGAATAGAGGTTAGTGGTGATCCTGCAGTAACCTTCTTTTACATTCTTCATAAAGAGTGGTTCTAACTTTCTTAACTGAAAGAGTCTTCCGGTTGTACATTTCATCATCATTACTCTTCTCTTTTTTTCATCCTTTTTTCTTCCCTTATATATACGCAACTTCCTCCTATTCTCTTTATTTTGTGTGGTGCATATGTATCTGGTGCCCTTTTGTATCAATATGTATGTGTTTAAATAAATAAACGATGTTCGATAACAATTAACCTAGTTCCTCATAGCATATTTTTAGCTGATACGGTTTGATCAATATGAAGTAGCATTACTGATGTTTACGAAATTGAGAGGACGAAAATCGAATGTCCGGCGCTTTAACCGTGTTGGTGGACACGGAAATTCCACCTAGGGGAGTTGGAAAACCCTGATTCTAAATCAATGACGCACGTGGGCTGGCTCCAGTATCCTGAGGGAATAAATGGCATGTGAACCAACCGTCGGTCACCGGCTACTATGGAACTGCATCTTCTTACGATGCTCCACTGCCTCGTGGATCAAACCTTTAGCTCAAAGGCCCTGTATGTGGCCCCTTATGTAAACCACGTGCTTCGGTTTGGGCACTCGGGCAGTACCACAGCCCTCACACAAATCAAATGAGATTTGCGTGGCACATATATCTGGTGTCTCTTTGTACCAATATTTATGTGTTCAAATAAATAAATAAACTGAACTGAAGAAAGCATAGTAAATGAAACAATACTATAAATTACAACACAAATATTACCTGGAATTTCCTGCCAATGCACAGGTATTTCAACAATATTCATATCGAAATGTCGAGCTAAATATAATAAGTCCACATCAAAAGCCCAACGGTCAACATGTAAATTATGAAATAATAAACGAGCAGCAGGTCGACTAAACAATTTAAATCCACATTGTGTATCACGAACTCCACGAACACATACAAGCCAAACAAATAATTTAAATCCATACATCAGTAGATTTCTTAATGGATGACGTTTAGCGAGTGCTTGTTCTTCTAAATGTGCTCTAGAACCACATATCACCGCCATACCACCGTTCTAATGTAATGAAGCAATAAAATAAAAGTGAACTTTGTTAAGGATATAATAATCATTGAGTTATTCGGTAGGGAATGCATAGGTGGTTGATAAATCAGATTACAATAAGTTACCTACAAGATAATGTTCAAACTAAATCACATAGTCTACCCAAAAAATATGTGAGATTTTCTATGGTTATGTATAGTGTTGCACACCACGAATTACTTCCTGGAAAACAGTGAGTGGTAGCTTCTAAATTTATTTATTTAAACGCATAAATATTGGTACAAAGGGGCACCAGATACATATGCGACACACAAATCAAATGAGATTTGTGTGAGGGCTGTGATCCTGCTCAGGTGCTTAAACCGAAGCTTTTAAAAGAAGGTTCTTAATACCTTAAAGGGTTATTTGTGATGCTAACAGATTGCTGTTAAATTGCAACGATACAACTGAATATTCAACAGTGATTACCCAATTTTTGCCCTGTAGTTCTGATATAACAGGGATAAAAAGTCAAAATGACATTCTTTTACTTATTATGATTTCTATTCTCCAGTATGACATTTTATTTTGTATAACATAAGATATTCTTGTGTTAAAAATTGGCATGAACTATGCTTAGCATGACATGTGGCATGTGATATGTCATAACTCGAAGTATTTTTCATAAATGTGATTTCGTCCTAATTATTAATCAAAATGGTTATGTCAGTCAGCTTTAACGTAGGACCAGGCAAACATATGCATCGCTCCAAGTTGCCATACCTCACTCATTAGCACAACAAGATGAACACCGGATTCATAGAAATAGTTAATTTAGTGGTGGTAGTATATAAAAGATAGGTTGTATATAAGGATATAGTATAGGAAGGAAGAAAGTTATGAAGCAATTTTAATCTTAAGGTTTAAGGGTAGTTAGAAAGTGTATACACCTACACCATTGTGATCGATTCTGAGCCATGTCACCTAGAGTCTCCAACCATTGGTTACGATAGTCACGCGGACCCCAACCAGGTAGTCTGCATCTGCCAACATGGCTCAGACTAGAAGTTAGTGACTTCAAGCACTGATGCCACGTTTTGGCATATATAAATGAGTGTATTTTTAACTAGAGCTGTCGTCGTGTTTTGCGGTTAATAAATCTCCATTTGTACTAGTCTTTGTGTTTTTATATTTGCGTCATGGGAATAGTGATGGTTCCTCGTTTTTTTTTTTACAACGACGACTAGATATAACGATTGGCGTTCAATCAAAAAACTTAAGAAGTTCTACCAACATGCCCTGCATACTTATCAGACTTAGTCACCTGCGACTTTTGTTTGTCTCTGGAAGGCAGAATTTTTATGTGGGATAGGCACTACAACGATATGAAAACGACAAGATATGAGAAGTCTGACGTCTGAGGATTCTCATGAATGTACTGATCGACGATTGGGATGGAACGTTTCTCTGTGTGTATTATTTCGAAGGGGATAAGATTGGTACACCTAAAATTCTGTAAAGCTACGTTTTTAACTTCATCATCATACACAATGTAGAGTTTGATACGTATGTGCGCATTGGTTTAGGTTGCATACCACATTAGAACAGAGAAATAAAATTATTCTAAGACTCGGAACAGTAGAAGTAATAACAGTATCAACAGTAGTGAAAAAATACGAGGTGTAGAAAAAGAAAACAGGTATAAATAAATTTCGGGGCTCAGGTTCTAGAGGAAGATAAGGAGTGCAAGCACCTCCGCCATTATAAACTGTTCTGAGCCACGTCACTCAAAAACTCTATCAATTGGTTACCATAGTCACGCAGACCATAACCAGGTAGTCTACAACTATTAACATGGCTCAGACCAACAGTCATTGTCTACATAGACCGATGCCGAATCCTTGCACCTTACTGCTACATCAGACAACATCGCCTGTCGAGGTAAATGATGGTTAGGCTTATGTAATATGCATTAATCCCCTCAGTTCATGAAGATTTACTTCACTAATTGACTTTTCATTTATGTTTTTAGATAGATCACTAGGGACAGAATAATTTAAGTCCAACCGAATAGGATTTGAATATCTAGTGACGAGGAAATTTGCGATATGCGGTTTGAATAAACTGTGCAAATTATTTATTTATCTATTTAAACACTTAAATATTGATACAAGGGGGTACCAGATATATATGCACCACGCAAATCTCATTTGATTTGTGTGAGGGCTGTGATACTGCCCAGGTGCCCAAACTGAAGCAGGTGGTTTCCTTAGGGGGCCACAGCTTGTCATATAGTTATGTTAATAGAACAGACTTACATATTTACGGTAAAAAAAATCTTACAAGATATATTTCAAACAGCTAAACACATGACTGCGCAGGTTTTACAAAGATACTTTATTCTAAATACACTGATCCGGTTAGGATACTCCGACATTTATTGATGAACATTGACAAAAATTGAGCGAACTTCATTTTGGAAGCATTGAAATTATACAAGAAAATTATGTTTCGAAGACTGTTTGCTAAAATCTTAGATGACTAACTGTGGATGTTCTGTGGTTGTCTACAGCTGCTGTGATAAGGGGCTACACAAAAAAACCGCCATTAAAATTACCTGATAACTTTTGAGTATCATCTTTTCCAAAGGGAAGTGATTCGGAACTTAGTAGTCGTATGATGATTAACCATACGAGTGTCATATTTTCGGGAAAATCTACTGCATTCTACATGGTGTTTTCAATAGGATATAAACTTTCTCTTACCGTATAACTCGAGGTATTTGAATCTAAGCGCATAACATAGTAATGTTGTGTTGCACCTGATACTGTTAAGAAGGTCCTTTCATTTTTATTATATAGTAGTTTTGTCGAAATTCAGTGTTACACAAAGAGCCCCCAAATGCCCTGGTACGGCCGAGAGTGGGGAGAGACCGCTCTCCCTCTCAAAATGCTCTCACACGGCCACGCGTATACAGCGTCTGTCAGGGAAGTCCTACCCACTGCCTTCTCGTAGTGAGGGTGTTATTTACGAAATTGATGGGACTAAAATTGCTTCATATCTCTCTTCCTTCCTGTACTATATCCTTATATACAACCTATAATTTATATACTACTACCAACACTAGATTAACTACTATGAATCCGGTGTTCCTCTTGTTGTGCTAACGAGGTATGGCAACTTGGACCGATGCATATATGTGCCTGGTCCTACGTTGTAGCTGACATGACATGACATGAATTGATGGGACGAAAAGCGAATGTCCGGCGCCTTAACCCGATTGGTGAACAAGGAATGTTCACCTAGGGGAGTTGGGAAACCCTCATTCCAAACCAATGCTCCATATGGGCTCCAGTATCCTGAGGGAACAAATGGCATATGAACCAATCGTTGGTCACCGGCTAGCATGAGACGATGCCCCACTGCCTTGTGGATCAGACCTTTAGGTCAAAGGCACCTAGTGTGGCCTCGTAAGAAAACCACCTGCTTCGGTTTGGGCAGCTGGACAGTATCACAGCCCTCACACAAATCAAATGAGATTTGTGCGGCGCATATGTATCCGGTGCTTCATTGTACCAATATTTATGTGTTCAAATAAATAAATAAATGTTACCCAAAGAGTTCATCTTTACATATTGTGTCAATTACATTTCTATGTTATAGTATTCTTTTGGCTGGAAACTAAATAGTTTTAGTCCGGACGTAGTCACATTCCGTAAACATACATAATAACTAAGCACTGAGGTGCATATACATGAAAAGAACGCTAAAATCATTATTGTTTAATAATACTCACTATTCCCAGCAATGAAATAGTTCACTAGTTTACAGTATTTCACTGAGAGCTGAATCTTCAGCGTAATGTAACTGAAACCCTTACTTACTTAGCATGGTAGGTAGTAGTAAAAAAATTGAAAGTAAACACAATATTAAACTTGTCTGAATTACCCATCTATTAGCTACAGATGATGCTAAAGCTTCCTCCAATTTTTCAATATCGGAAAACTGAGTCGCACCATCTGCATCTACGAATAGAAGTATCCGGCCACGTGCAGAAAGCATTCCCTGAAAATGAAATGTCCAATTAAATTAATAACGGTATATATATATATATATATATAAATGTATATACTAGATGCTGTAAAATAGCTGAAGTTTTAGCTCCTCAAGTTACAAGAAGACTTAACAAGCCTTTGGCCAGTATTGATATTGGCTTTGTTGTATCACCAAAAGTAACTTATCATAATATTTTAGTAACTGTTTGTCTCATTCCCTTTTCATTATGTCTCAGTGTGACGATTAGAAGCAAAGAACTCTGTATGAGGTTAAGTATATGTTTATAATTACATTCAGTATCGCTCGCGTATAGTGGGATCACTAAAAATACTATCAAAATACCATTACCAGAGATGAAGCTAAATTCAAACACAATTTAAGTTTAAGGTGAAACATTTGAGTGGTTACTGATTCAATCCGGATATTTAAACCAATATCGATGGAGCGGTTTCAAACCTCCTCCATATTAAGTGAAAGTTAAGGATGTTAACAAATTTAAGGAATTAGGAACAAGATTAGAAGACTGAAGCAAAAAAGCTCAGTTGTATTTAAAAATTTATAACTTACCATCCTGACTGCAGCACCTTTTCCACGATTTCGATCTAAAGAGATTACACGAAGTGTATCTGAACCCTCACGTTTACAGTATTTGTGAGCAATCTACAAGTTAGTTATAAATTGACATTGTTTTACCTCTAATGTATGATCTTTACTACCATCATTTACGATAATTATTTCAAATGTGAACTTTTTATCTGAATCCTTTTACTAAAATAAATTAAAAATTAAAAAATTACTTCTCGTTTATGAAGGTAATTCAATGCTTCAGTCAGCATTGTGGGAACTGAAATATGTACAATATTTTTTAATTATACCTACGGCGTTCAACTTCGTTGTAAGCTGGAATTATTACCGACAATTCTTTTTCTGGTCTTTCAGTAAGACCAAATTTTAACTTAATATATTCACATTTATCCGGATCATAAAAACATTCTTCTGTGCTACTTCTGGATAGGTTGGGATATGGATCTGTAGTAAGGTACATTACAATCAGGAGCTGAAATATAAAGTTTAACTGGGAATACATCAACTTACTATGAATGTTACTATGACCAAGGTTGTTATGATGGATATTAGAGATAAAAGCCATAGTTCTAAAGACATTCCTTCAAAAAGTTAAGGAATTGGTAGTTTTTGTGTCTAGCTTGTAGATATGTTACAAATGCGAAGTTCTCTCAGATAATGTAAGAACCTGGGAAAAGAAAAATGGGTTGGTAACAAGATAAACATGCATAATTTTGATTTTTCGTCAACAAACAGTAATAAACAAGTCTCTGAGTTTAATCGAAAAGGCAGTAGGTCTTAGATACAGAAGTACAAGTTATTGATCAATGTCGAATGAATCCAACAGGAAAAGGTTAGACAAGAAAAATACTGAGAAGGAACCAATTAAATTGTGCTTACTTTGAACCACGGAACAAATGTCATACTTAGTTGAGTATTTGAAGCGGTGAGACTAATTTATGGACGAACCAATCAGACTTACGATAAGAGGTTTTGAACTTCGGCGCGAAATCCTTTATCCAATTGGCTAAATAGAGTTCTGACATTTTAGCTGATGTCAGTTTGTGATGAAAACCTTAAATATAATCCCTATCCCTAACCATCAACTATAAATCACAATCCTTATCCTCCACAATGATTTCAAACCCTCATTTAGCCAAAGTCAGTAGGAGAACATTCTCAAGTTTATTTTTATCTACTTAAACACATAAATATTGGTGCAATGAAGCACCAAATAAATATGCGCCACATAAATCATCTGATTTGTGTGAGATGGGATACTGCCCGGGTTCCCATGTCGAAGCAGGTGGTTTTCTTACGGGGCCACGCCTTGAGCCTTTGACCTGAAGGTCTGATCCACAAGACAGTGGAGCAACCTCAAGAGATGCAGTCGCCCAAAGGTCGTCCATAAATAATTGTCTCACATTTGAAGCTACTACTCAGTAGTCCCAATCCAATTTATTCAAGGTATCAATTTCACGGCGACGTTTGCAAGTGATTTTGATGATAAGTTTTCGTATGTGACACTAGAATCACATTCTTAGCAGTTCTTTATAAGTAACATTTTGAAGTGATCTTTAGAGACGAATAAAGTTATAGGATGTGACAAATCATGTGTATCCCTTCCATCTTCAAGTGTTGCAACTACATTACTTCCAGTCGAATTGGAAAAGAAAGATATCTCAGATACACCCCAAAAGCTCAGTATATTTGTTGCGGTGCGTGGACATTGCAGACGCTGTCTTATACAACCTAAGGTGTATACATTATAGATCGTTTTTGATGCGGATGTAATAATACTAATCAAAATTCCAGGTAAGGAACTTATCATGGGCTGTCTCACCAGCTGAGCTGCCAACACGAAAAATACCAAAGGTATCACATTGGATACTATCAACATACTTGAAAAAATGTGAAAAAAATGTCACTCACGTCATAAGAGCAAGACATGGCATTTCTTCTCACTAAATTAGGGATCAGTATGCTTAATACGGATGCACTAATACTTGCCCGATATTATTTGCTCTCAAAAAGTCCGCAAACTGGGCCCTATGAGACACCTTGATCACAGCAAGCCACTTAGACAGTAACAAACTTAGACTATTTTTAGTGTGACACTGGGATAATTTTACAACCAGATAAGCAAATGTCCAATAAATGACCCATAATAACATAGGAAATACAGTGATTTGTGGTCAATTTCGTTAGTCAAGGAAAATTCATGTCATTTGTATCCAACTAGTAAAATCCCGTCAATAGATTAGAATCACAGTATTTAATCGGTAACTCCTTTCAATGTCTGACTGCGAATCATGTTAGTCGACTTTGGTATCATATGTAGCAATTAACCACCACGATTATCCAGTTATTGCGGATCGACTTGAAGTTTCATTGCAAGAGCTATATCAAGACCAGTAGTGGTGTTCAAGTTTTTTCGACTTGGAGCACAATAAAAGCAGCATAAGTGCTCACTTCATTTAGTAGGTAAGAGTTAGTGATATAGTCCTCACCAGTGAGGATAATCATGTACTACGTCCCAAACAACCAATAAAGGGGGAATAAAGGCGAACCAAGGGGAAAATACATTGGAAACGAAGTCGGAAGTAAAGCGGAAATGCGCCAAAGTGTCTACTTTTTGCCTGTCCGGGGGAAATAAAGCAGCATATCCCACTCATATCGCTCTGTTTTTCAAATGTCGCTAAACTGCCGATTTTTACACGAAATATCAGATGAATTGCCGACTTCTACCCGAACTATCCGAGGAATCGCCGATTTTGACACTAAGTATCCACTACATTGTCTACTTCTCCACTACATACACACCGATGTATTTTAGCACCCACTTTTAAAACGCTTTTGTAATTACCCCAACTGCCTCCTGTGTTCACCTTCATTCCCACAACACAGCACACCGATAATGTAATGTACGTAAAATATGGTATAAGTTCAAAATTTTTATTGAAAACAAACAGCTTATTAATGTACAATGTTATGAGTAGTTTTCAAATGGTAGAGTATCAATGTTCATAGTGTAATTGCAATTGTCACGGACCAGTATCATCTGAAGAGAACTGCAAAATAATACAGGTAATGTTTTATTAATAACGTACATGTGTTTATTTGCAAATGCATAAACAATGAAACAGGCTTCCTCAAATAAGAAGTACAATTTTTAAAAAAAATATTTATTGAAAACGAAGTTTGACAGGAAAGACATACGTACGTACGTGTTCTTTCTTCCGTCGATAACGCTTCTGTACTTTGTCTCTCATGTCGTGAAAATAACTGCGTAGCCATGTCACAGTTTCGCAGGGTCTTTCTCGTTGACAGATGACGACAGGAATCGATTAGTAAGTGCACCTAAAGTTCAAAAACCTTATTTGCCTTACTTTGAACGCAGTCATAAGACCGGCACTTCGTTTTGATGAAGTACCAAGTAGCGTGAAATTAATGGCGACTTCAGGTGTCATGATGTAGGACAAAAGAGTTCTTACGGAGCCATTTAGCCGGACAGCACACAGGCGACTGTTAACGGGGATCCATTCTAGTAGTGCCTGTTCTGCCCTTGTACTTAGTGCTATGCCTACACCTGCAAGTCCGCGAGAACTAGCCAACGGGTCGCCAGATACACGGAGGGTGTATCTCGTTGGCTGTCCATTTTGGTGAGGTGAGGTCAAGTGAATGACCACACTGGGATCCTGGATGCGTGTTTCGGAGACACAGCATACATCAATGGTACGAGATTCTAGGGATTTAGCTAAGGAGGCCTGTTGACCGATTTGGCATAGGGTACGTAGGTTGAAGGCTCCAATGTGTAGTTTGGAGCGAAGTTTTAGTAGACCTGGGACAGCGTTTCGCGCACTAGAATCGTTGAGTCAGCCTTACCTATCACCGGGTTACTATGAGTCGATATGTCAACCTGGAGCCTATCCCAGAAAGACATTTGTTCCGCGTAACGCTGAGCTGCCTGTTTAGCAACGGAATACCCACTGTGTACGGATTTCTTAATTTGTCTCATATAAGACTCGAATGGAAATGCTGAGTAGTTATCTAACGGTCCACGTGCAAGAACATCGTCAGGAAGATGCTGTAGCGAATGCACATTATAAACTAAGTTTTCACATCCGTAACACCATTCATATTCGCTTAGGAAATTCCTTAATTCCATCCCTTTAGATGAGATCTAAATGTCTTTCTGCGATAGGCTTCAGGTTGACATATCGACTCATAGTAACCCGGTGATAGATAAGGCTGACTCACGTAAGCAAGTAATAATGTCTAGGAATACGCAAATAAATGAAATGAAAAATTCAACTGACAATTCTATTCTCGCTCATACTAGAAACAAAACAATTAGGAATGCTAAAATAAATTCATTTAAGCCTGATAATATTGTAGTAGTCAACGGAAAGCTGGGATTAATAACTGATATTCAAGAGAATGGACTCTTAAAATTCAGGCAATTCACCGACCCACAAAATTACTTTGAAGATCCATTACCTTCCACTGACATAGAAATATTTAAATGCTCCGTAGTTAGCAGTGATTACAGTTGGGTTTCGATTCATGATGTTGACTGTAAATGTATGTCGATAAATTGTGTTAATCATTCGGTTACTGTTCCTTTGTTACACACTGTTATGTGATTGTATTTCGTTTAATTTCCTGTTATGTAATATTTAGTCTCCCAACAATAAATACGTAATCGTTAACGCACCAAGCAAAAATAAGTTGGTGGTTGCAGCCGGCCATTGGGTTATTGGAGAAAAACTATGTCTGTATCCAAGGGAGCAGATTGATCTGCATCTGCAAAACAATGACCTACCTAAAGAAAATTGGTCTATGTTCAAGTGCAGTGTTGTCCACGAATGCGGTTAGTTACAAACATGCAAACGATCGCTTCTTACAGATAGTCTCAAATCTGCCAATGATTTGTTGGCATCGTTCCAAAAATGCTATGTTACTAATAAGAACTCTTCGCCAGACGAAAATACGTTGCCGTTAAACACGGAGAAGCAAAAGAGATCAGTTCAATAATCTTACTGAAATTTCGTAGAGGCGCATTGAAACGTAAAGAAGGTTTTCTTTACAATTCCGTTGACATGGATGTCGCAGAGATGCAGGCTGAGAATAGCCGCGTTCAATATCCAAAGCTTCGGATGTTTGAGAATGTTGTCTCTCCGATTGCCAAGTAAGTTTCTTTAATTTGGACATGTCAATTAAGTAGTTCAACACAATTAGACACCTCGCCCTCCACGTCCGATGATAAAAATCTAACGGCTGAGTAAGTCATCCGTACGATCAAGTTCAATTTTTCAGATGTGAAAGAATGCATACGGTGCAGCTGAAAATATTGGCAAGCTTGAGTGAAATTGGTACAAATATGAAGCTGATGCTCTCAAAGTTCGCTGACCGCGAACATCCGCGTCAATTTGACTGTGGTCTATCCAGTCAACAGTTCCCTTTGTCATCTGAAGAGGAACTTGGAACTTTGGACGCTTGCCTTGAGCAAAAAGAAGTGAGGGACGGATTTGTAAGCACACAAGATGAATTTTATCATTCGTTCCTATTACAGATGGCTATGTTGACGCGTTTAATGGATGATTCTAAAACGTCCATGCGATATCTTTTGTTTTACATCATGACACCTGAAGTCGCCATTAATTTCACGCTACTTGGTACTTCATCAAAACGAAGTGCCGGTCTTATGACTGCGTTCAAAGTAAGGCAAATAAGGTTTTTGAACTTTAGGTGCACTTACTAATCGATTCCTGTCGTCATCTGTCAACGAGAAAGACCCTGCGAAACTGTGACATGGCTACGCAGTTATTTTCACGACATGAGAGACAAAGTACAGAAGCGTTATCGACGGAAGAAAGAACACGTACGTACGTATGTCTTTCCTGTCAAACTTCGTTTTCAATAAATATTTTTTTTAAAAATTGTACTTCTTATTTGAGGAAGCCTGTTTCATTGTTTATGCATTTGCAAATAAACACATGTACGTTATTAATAAAACATTACCTGTATTATTTTGCAGTTCTCTTCAGATGATACTGGTCCGTGACAATTGCAATTACACTATGAACATTGATACTCTACCATTTGAAAACTACTCATAACATTGTACATTAATAAGCTGTTTGTTTTCAATAAAAATTTTGAACTTATACCATATTTTACGTACATTACATTATCGGCGTGCTGTGTTGTGGGAATGAAGGTGAACACAGGAGGCAGTTGGGGTAATTACAAAAGCGTTTTAAAAGTGGGTGCTAAAATACATCGGTGTGTATGTAGTGGAGAAGTAGACAATGTAGTGGATACTTAGTGTCAAAATCGGCGATTCCTCGGATAGTTCGGGTAGAAGTCGGCAATTCATCTGATATTTCGTGTAAAAATCGGCAGTTTAGCGACATTTGAAAAACAGAGCGATATGAGTGGGATATGCTGCTTTATTTCCCCCGGACAGGCAAAAAGTAGACACTTTGGCGCATTTCCGCTTTACTTCCGACTTCTTTATCAATGCATTTCCTCTTTGTTCGCCTTCATTTCCGCTGTACTTGTTGTCTGGGTACTAATCCGTATTGGGCTATATATCTGGTGTTCTGAATCATAGCTAGTGAGATTTCGGATCTAGGAACCTAAGGTAAATGCATTTACTGGCGAATACAGCCCCTAATTTTTCCAATTAATGGAGAATACACTGATTTTACTTAATATATTGCTGTTCACCTGATCAGGATCGTAGTTTACTCGAAAGAAAACCAGTTTACTGGAATATTATCAAGTTTGTTTATGCATCTGTTACGTTCACTTAGTTTCAACTAGGTTTGGAAATAAAACCAACCGACAATAATCTAAACTCACATATATGCACGCCTCAAACAATCAAACTTGGCGGGTTACAGTCTCGATTAACGTATATCCTAAAGATTAGCAAGCACAAACGAAAGAAGCCAAAGTGCATCCGATGCAAGTGAGTCGAAGGAAACTTCAGTCTTCAGTAATAAGGATAGGAGGTCTAGTGACCTATTTTAATCCTTGCAGTTTGTTACACTGTGGAGGTCCAATCTCGTCTTGAATATATCAACAGAAGGTGCTGATATTACGTGTTCTGGTAGAGAATTCCAGTAATTCACTACTCGGTGCGAGAAATGAAACTCCAGACGTAGACGATTTGATCTCGGTTTTTGGACTGTCTTTGAATGTCCTCTCAAATGATCAGCCCTAGACGGGAGGAAAAGATAGGACATGTTAGCACCAAGGTCATCGTTCCGGATACGATATGCCAATATTAGATCACCCCGTAATCGCCGGTAAGATAACGGAAATAAGTTGAGGTGTCTCAGTCTGTCTTCATAAGATAGGCTAGATAAGCCTTTTACCATTTTTGTCCCGCGGTGTTGGACTCGTTCCAACATATCCGCCTCATATTTGAAACAAGGACTCGCTGCTTGAATCCCATATTCCAAATGTGGCCGTACGAAAGTTGGGTATAATAATCTAAACATTTCCCCATCCAGATACCGGAAAGATCTACGAATAGACCATAATGCCCTATAGCCTTTTGCAGCAGCAGCCTTACAGTGACTGGTTGTTTTGAGATCATTACTTAGTATGACTCCTAAATCTTTATAGTTTCTTACTTTGGGCAACACTAGTACACATATTGTGTAGTGATACGAATCATCGCAGTTATTTAATTGCATCACAACACTTTTATTAGGGTTTACTTCTAGTGACCACCCATTCATCCATGCAACTAATGAGTTAAGATCTTCCTGTAAAACTATTCTGTCTGACATACTATATATGGGTCTCCAAATCTTAATGTCATCGGCGAATAGTAGGACGGATGACTTAGCTATAGCTGGTAAATCATTTATATAAAGTAAAAAGAGAAGAGGACCTAAAATCGTGCCTTGGGGGACGCCACTTTTTACTGGTTCCCACGATGAGAGAGCCCCATTTACTCTTACCCTTTGTCTCCTTTCATGAAGAAAGTTACTTATCCAGTCTATGACTGCATAATGAATTCCAAAACTTTCTAGTTTCAATTTAAGACCAGAATGGGAAACCTTATCAAAGGCTTTACTTAGATCTATGAAAATGACATCTACAGGAATATTGCGATCGTTTGCCTCAGCCCAATCTTCTCTTGCAATGAGAAGATTTGTCAAACATGATAGACCTTTTCGAAAACCATGTTGTTCCTTTGACAAAAGATCATGTCTTTCCACGTAGTTTATAACAGCCATCCTAAAAATTTTTTCCATTAGTTTTACAACTGCACCAGTTAAGCTGACGGGTCGATAGTTACTAACTAAATCCCTACCCCCAGTCTTATACACCGGACTGATTATTGCGTGCTTCCAGTCTCTGGGCAATCTGGACTGCCGTAGGGACATATCGAACAGCATCGCTAAGGGTTCAGCAATAACATCTGAGAGGGCTTTCATAATCCGAGGATGAATATCATCAGGACCACTAGACTTATCAGGTTTGAGATGCTGGAGTAGGCTTAAAACAGTTTCTTTCTTAATAACTACAGGGTCCATCAACAAGTCGCCACAATCACAATGAATAGGTGATCGTTCCTCATTATTGGTAGAAAAAACTTTACTGAAATATTCCGAAAAAGCTTCCGCTTTTTCGGTATCATTTCTTGCCAAACTTTACGGATTTTCTTGTATCAAAAGTGATGGTATTCCATCACTTCTCTGAGTTCGCCTCTTTATATACGAGAATAACCGTTTTGGACTATGTTTGCAATCCCTAACCAATTGTTTTTCGTATGACCGTCTAGTTCTACTAATTAACGCTTTACAATTATTTCTAATCTTACGATAACTAGATCTGTACTGTTCTAAGCCAGTAGAGATGAACATGTTCCAGTGTTTTTTTCTACGCCTAAGGAGTTTCTTAACTTCTTTATTTATCCACGGTGGACTATTGTTCGGTCTACGTGGCACCAAGTATGGTATGAACGGGGACGTGACTGCACTAAAATTTCCTTTTAAATACAGACCACGCCTCGTCAACTGATGAGCTAGTATCTACTGACCAATCTATCTTAGTAGCACAATCCTGAATGGCTGGTATGTTAGCTCTCCATATGTTTGGGTGAGGCTAAATCTGATCGTATATCATATCGCTAGCTCTAAACGTGAATGATAAAACAGCGTGATCGCTATTTACTAACGGGGGAAGAATATTTAGGTTGGCAATATCCTCAGTCTCATGAGTAATTACCAAGTCCAACTGAGAAGAACCTTGGTTTACAGCAAAACGTGTAGGTTTGGATACATGTTGTACTAATGCATGTTCCATTACTGTTTCCAAGAGCCTGCTATCAAATGAGTTTATAGAGCATTTCGTGGTCATCTCAGTCCAACTAATGTCAGGTGCATTTAAGTCTCCTAATATCAAGCATCTGTTATTTGCACTCCATAGCCGAATGTGCTCTAAAATAAAGTCATCAGCTAAGCAGATTGGGCTGCGATAGATGACACCGAGTGCAAATGTGCAACATCCGACAGTGAGTTCACAGCTAATGACTTCACTAGTTCCACTATCATGGGATTCGCAAACGGAGGAGCGGATATTTATACTATTGGCTATGTATAGAAGGACGCCACCTCCTTTCCTGCATCTATGTCTATCACTTCCTAAACAATGATATCCGGATAATTCTGGGGTGATATCGAAGTCATGGACTAACCAAGTTTCCGTCACAGCTACAATGAGTGGCCTTAATTTGTCCACTAATGTTCCTAGCTCATAGAATTTATGTTTTAGACTACGGGCGTTGGCATATAAAACTTCTAGGGGGAACGACCTATCCACACAGGCCTTGGTAGCATTCGCTTCCAAGACCTGACTATTCGAAAACCCACCAATCGGAGATTTTCTTCACCGTTTTGTCGACGGGTTTCTAGTTCAGCTAGTGCCGTCTTCCTTTTTATTCTATCTTCAAGAGACACATTCGAATGTCAGATTTGTCGTGACTTTGAGCGTTACTTAACAGAAGATTACGTTGTTTCTCCGACCCTAAGATTACCTTAAGGAGTCTACACGGTCGGGGTAGAACACTGTCATCGGCCCTTTTACCTATTCTAACTAATTTTTTTGACCTGAACACCTTTAGTGTTATCTGGTAATATGCTACGGATATATTCTCCGAGCCTCTCTAAGTCATGGGTGTGTCTGACCTTAGGATCTAGATCGTTAGACTCTGGCAATTTACTCACAATAATATTCGATTATATTAAATTCCTCTCAGTCTCACTAGGATGATGATCTGCCGTTCTATCAGAGTGCGATAATGCATTGAGTGACTCAGACTGTGAGTTCCTCAATGGCTTGTCAACCAAGTGTGCTTTATCATTAGCTTTTTTTCCTTTTCTTTTCCTCTTTATTGCGGTCCATTTTTGGTCATTCAGGACAGCTGCATTGGGACTATTGGGGACGGGGACGGTTTTATCCGGGTCCTTAATTTCTACTAAAGATGCATGATTACTCATGTCAATACCATGTGGTGATTTACTCCTCGTTTGTTGTAACGGAAGTTTCACTTTGTCATTAATTAGAGTAGGTTGTTCAGCGCGTTTTGTAACTATTTGACTGACTTTTGAACCTGTAATCACCTTCAATTTGAGAAGCATGTGGCGGTGAATAAATATTTGAAATAAGTGGTTCGGTCAGTCTTTGGCATTAATAATGACCTCATTAGTTTTACTGAGCACAATATAGCTGAAAGCATCCGATCAAGCATTTGTTCCAGATCACTATTGTTTATGCCATGCTACACATACTTCCCAACAACAAGTCATCTTAGATCACACTTCTTGACAAATCGGTTTCAATTTGGAAAAGACAGAAGGTTAGGCGGCCTGTGTTATTCTTGGCAATGGTGGTCTCTCAGTTTATTCAAACTCCTTTTGAAAGCGTCGACAGATAGAGCTTTAATCACGTGTTGAGGTAATTAATTTTATTCGTTGATGATTCGATCGGAAAGTCGATAGTCAGCTGACAAGTTGTTTCTCATAGATTTGTTAACATCTTTAGAGTGTCATCGTAAATTCTCTATGTCGGAAGACAAGAAAAGTGAATGCATATCAGATGCAAATTTTTTATTAATTTGAAAACCGTTACCAAGTTACCTCATGTTCTTCTATATGACAAGGGAAATATATTTGGCTTAGCCAGTCTTCATACGAAGGCTTTGGAAAACCGGCTTTCAGTCTAGTTGAAGTCTCTTGAACCTTTTCTAACGGCCCATCGTTTCGTTTCGGGCAAAAGCTAGCTGCTTGTATGAAGTACTTGAGTTTAGGACTCACGAATACTGTATACAAAGCCAGAAAACTTTTAGCATCGACACGACTAAGGTTCCTACAAATTGACCATAGGGTTCCAAAACTTTTGCAGGCTGTCGCGCGGTAGTGCGCAGTATCTTTCAAGACTCGTCTACTGATGCCTCATAAGTCATTGCGTCTGGACAGCAGATGGTCCACTATTATTCACCGTGTATGTTTCGTACGAATATGCACTGCAATGCAGTTGCAAGCATTTTTCGTCAACTGTCAGATTTCAGACCGGTCAGATAATTTGTAAAGGTCATCTTGAGTCTCTAAACTATCACCATCATTTTTTATCGCTCTCTATATGTTGATATCATAAGCATACGGCAAGGTCGATAATGATAGGCGACTAGGAAGGTTATTTACTTACAGAAGGAACAACACAGGCCCTAAAACTGTACCCTGGGGCACTCTGCCAAGCACAGTTTCTCAGCTAGACAACTTTTAGTTCTTCCGTACCCTTAGTTGACGCCCAATTCGGAAGTCCTTTAGCCATATTAATAAGTTGTCTCCGATCTCGATATCACATAACTTATTTGACAGCCGGTTGTAATAAACTTTGTCAAAAGCTTTGCTGAAGTCGATGTAGGCTACATCTGTAGGTAACGTTTGGTTTTTAGGAGCGCACCAGCTTTAACGAACCACTAACAAGTTA